TGGTAAGATCTAAACAAATACATTTCTACAAAATCATATCAAAAAAAGAAGCTGAGTGTGGGGGAAGAGTTGTCTTTTCAATTTGACTGTTTGAAGGCGTAATTCAGCATTTGGAGAAATGTCTTTACTGGTTTTCTTTTTAAGAGTTGGATTAAAAGATTGAGAGGAATCTCATGTCTGTTTTTAAAGTAGAAAGATCCAGTCAATGTGCGTCTGGCCTGATTTAATGTAAAAGAGAAAACGGCCGACTGTAACTGTGTCCGTTTAAAGTTCAGACCTGTGCACAAACAAAGCTTTTGTGTGGGTGATACATGCTAAAATCAACAACAGAGAGAAATGTTAGGAATACTATGGCCTTTATTCTTTTAACCATCTTATATCATGTTGTGGAAAATGGGTCACACTTTATCCTCCGATCCTCTGGATGCTCAAATTAGAACACAGTATTTGTAGTATGTTTTTGTCACGAGCTTCTTTGTATGTAGACAAAAGTTCGTAAGAAGCCAATACGCTTAATCAGATGTGTATTGTGTATCAGGACCCCCCTCTCACCACATCGTCCCAATTTTGATTTACGGCCTCAGTCGAACCGTTTCTGTAACTTTCTAAAACCGATGATCTCAAATTCAGTGTGTTACCATTGCCAACCAAACGTTTTACACAAGATGAAATCATGATTTTTTTTTTTTATGACGTACTGCAGCCACCTCCGGATGTCTGGCTTTCAACATTGATACGACAGCCACCCGCATCTTTACTACAGAACAAAAAGATTTCTTCCAAAACAAGGTGCTTCAGTTACTGTCTGACAAGAACAATGGGTGAGTATCAAAGCTAATCTAAAGATGCAAAGTATCAAAATATTAAATCATATTTGCATCATTAATGTGGTGTACAGCTTTTCTGTGCAAATCAGTGCATGTTTTTTGTTGTTGTCTTATTTCTGTCTGATCAGATCTCACGAAGGCACAATAGAACTTTTTATTTAACGTTTCTCATAGAGGATGGGGACAGGAAATGGACTGGAAAGAAAGTAGGGGAAAAATTTAGCTGGGATTTGATGATCAGAGCACGTTTGATGTCCCAAAAGTGCAAAGATAAAATAAAAGGTCATGTAACTCTAGTTGCTGTCTTAAACTTGGGTAAAAGTAAAGATTACCTTTGTCCTGATCGAGGGAAAAATAAATAACGCCCACACAGCATATTTACTTTCATTGACCCCGAGAGTATTCGTGGTTGTTGTCAATGTGGTCCAGGGGCGTTTTCAGAGACTGTGCCCGTATTGTTGCTACTGCCCAAGTAATTGAATTCAAATTCAACTGAAAGGTTAAAGTGACATACAGTGGCTTGCAAAAGTATTCGGCCCCCTTGAACTTTCCCACATTTTGTCACATTACAGCCACAAACATGAATCAAT